AGGGGGTGGTCCAGCGAAATAGCCGGGGACTCAGGCGCAATGGTTGCGACGGCTGGAGTATCTGTTTCTGTATAGTAGTAGAATTACGTCCATGCTGTCAAGTTGTGCGTGGTGAAAAGGATATAGTGAGTTTCATTCAGAAGCAAGCTAATTGGGTGCCGTTCAAGTTTTGTTTAAGAAACTTGGGGAGGGGACAGGATCTGAGCTTGCCTTATCCGGTCTTGAAATTTGAGAGCGTAGGCTGAGATGGTCCTTACATAAGCCTCCAACTTTTAAAAAAAAAGAGAGAATAATTTTCAACAAATTTGCTCAAAGCTTTTATTTTCATCTTGTGTTTTTCCCACCAGTCATTTGTAGTGAAACCTCAAGGGCCATACAGGCAGCACGGCAGAAAATAGGAGATACGCAATCCGGCCTCGTTTTTTTTTACTTTTTTCCTTTATCGGAGCGACGCCTCATTGGCAGCATTGAGCAGAGCATTGCGAGTTCATGCGTCGCGCCATCGCGCCTTCAATTTTGCACATGCAACACGGACATCCATCGAGTATGAATAGTTGTATCTCTGCGCCGTCGCCAACGCGCGTCCTACTCCTTTCTTTTTCTCTATTTCCATATTGTGTGTGTTTTTTTTATCTGTCATGTTCGTAGTGGAGCTTCAAGAGCTGCGCGAGAAACACAGTCGACTATAGGAATGACGTAATCGGACCTCGTTTTTCAACTGTTCACCCGAGCCGACGAATCCCTTGCAGCATAGAATTTTGAGTAGTTCTGGTCCCTCGCCATCGCGCCTTCAATTTTGTATATGCAACACGGACATCCATCAAGCACGAATAGTTGTTTCTCTGCGCCGTGGCTGTCATCAACACTCGCCATTTCCATTTTTCTATGCTCCATTTCCAAATTGGTTTTTTTCCGTTTGTCATATTTGTAGTGGAGCTTCAAAGGTTGCGCGAGCAATACAGCCAAATGTTGGAGAGACTTATCCGGTCTCGTTTTCTAACTTTTCTTCTTCATCGAAACGACACTCAATGGCAGCATAGAGCAAAGCACTGCAAGTTCATACACCGTGTCATCGCGCCTTCAATTTTGCACATGCAACACGGACATCCATCGAGTACGAATAGTTGTATCTCTGCGCCGTCGTCAACGCACGTCCACTTTCGCTCTATTTCCATTTTTAAGCTGTTTTTCGAATTGTTATACTTGTTGGAGAGCACCAAGAGCCACATGAGCAACACAGCCAAGTGTAGGAGAGGCGCAATCCAGCCTCGTTTCTTAATTTTTTTCCTTATCGAAGCAATATCTCCCTTGGAGCAGAGAGCGAATAATTGCGTGCTGATTTGTCAGGGAAATTCAAAAAGATGTTTAGAAAAGTATACGCAAATCCAAAACAAAAGGGCATTTACAACAAATCAGAACCTGTCCTGTAATGACTTTGGTAACAGATTCGGAGACTCGCTGGGATAAAAATGAACTCTGTTGTACGATCGTTCAAAATCATGCGTCTTTAAAGGACGATGCTGTAATTAAATGTCGGTCTAATTTTTCTTAAATTGTTGGTAGTTTTCTAGGATTTTATCGACCGTGATCGTATTTTGATCTCTAAAATTATGAATTTTAAAGCTTCAGTGAGATGAAATCAGTAGGTTTCCGGAAAATTCATCTCAACATTCCCTCCAAAGTTCTGCTTATGAACGTTTTTTGGCGCGCATCTTGTCGCGAAACCTACCAGGAAAGGAACCATCCAGCTTCAGAGGTTTATTGAAGAATCCTCGGTGTGAATTTCGTGGGAAGACGACTATCCACTCGTAGATCGCTCCTCCGCGTAACATGGGAATGATAGTATTCCTTTTTATTCTAATATATCCCTCGCAGCAGGCTGATTATTGAAATTAGATATGGCAATCGACTAAGAGGACGGAGGGGAAATGGAGCGATCCTATTTGTTGAAACGGATGACTGTATAAACTAAGAGGAAAAATGATTGACTATCTTAAGGATCTCTCCTAGGTTTCTGTTCATTTGTCTATTACTTACCTCCTTCTCAAGGGAAATACGATTAGACTAGTGTTGCACTAAACAGCATATCTTTTTAATGGAAAATTGTGATCATATGAGCTTTTTCGCTCTGTACTGAGATTTTCAGCTTGTTTTTGACGCACATTGGCTAAAAAAGTTTAACTTACTGTCTTACGACCAGTGCGTCTACCACAATCAGTTCGTGGAAACCATATTTATTTTACCAAAATGATTGCTCCATTTTTTTCACTATCTACTTCGTCTATCGATATGACAATCAATTCCAATCATCAGCCCTCAGGGTAAATCATGTAATGAGATTCCTGCGGGCTGATTGTTGATAGCTATAGACAAAGAAAACATGAGGAGTATGGAGCGATCCTATTGGTTAAAATGGGTGGTTCTTATAGACTAAGGGAGAAAATCATTGGCTACCTACGGGGTCTATCGTGAGTTGCCGTTAGTATGTCTATTACCTACCTCCTTCGTCCATCGCAACTTCCCGCTTCCACCAAGTATGATCCCTCCATATCTTTTTTGTCATCTTTGTCTGTAGCTTTGTCTACCAATTTCAACAATCAGCCCGCAGCCCAGTTTTTCGGCTTGTTATCAGAGCGACATAATCAGCGGGCCGATTATTGAAACTGATCGACAAAGCTATAGAGAAAGAAGACAAAAGAGATATGGAGGGATCCTATTGGTGGAAGCGGGTGGTTGCAATGGACAAATAAGGTGGGTAATAGACTAAGGAACGGCAACCCACGAGGTACCCGATAGTTAGTCCATCATTTCCTCCCTTAGTCTATAGGAACCACCCATTTCAACCAATAGGATCGCTCGTAACTCTCTATGTTTTCTTTGTCTACCGCTTTGTCTATAGATTTCAATAATCGGCCTGCAGGAAACCCCGATCGATCCACGCGACAATATCACCGCATACGTTCCGCTCGTAACGCGCTTGCGGTATGGGCGACGCAGGGTGGGTGGGGGGCGGGGGGCTCGCTGTTACGTCACGTTAGCCCCCGCGGTGGAGAGTCCGAGGGAAAAACGGGGCTTTTCCGGGCGCTTGGGGGGTGGTTTCCCTCCGACTTGGCGGCGGCGCGGCGAGTGAATGGCGGGAGTCGCTCATTACAATTGCTAATGTGGATACCCAGCTGTATCTCATTCATACTTTTGCATGCATAAGTTTGGTGTGCTCCTTTTTAGCATGCAAAGGATGTTTTGACTCAGCTCGGCGCGGGCTGCTTCAGCTCTGCCGCCTTTCAACTCAGTATGGTTCTAACCAAGCCTAGCACAAGACGTAACTATGCTGCTCCCGCCCCCCGCTCTCCCCCCTCCCCCCCTCCCCCCTCCCCCTCCCCGCGGCGGCGGGACAACAATGGCCGCGTGGGCCCTGTGCGTGTGCGTGCGTGAACGTTTTCCATTGTTAAAATAAGTTTCGTTTGGTTGTTTTTTTTTCTTCTTCTTTTTTTCGTCGTCGTCTCCTCTCCGCAAGCTCAGGTAAGCTACGTGTTATCATTCATTTTTTCCGGCAGTTTTTCTGGATTTCCGCGCCGCCCCGATCGGACCCGATCCGGCCCGAGGTCAGTCGTCGCGATTGTCCCCGGGTCGTCGGGACAGGTGGAGCGGTGGAGAGGCGACTCGACTGCAGCGCTCTCTGCCTCCGGGGGAGGGAAGTGGGTTGTCTCGACATCAATCACGTGTGCATGGCTTCATTCATGAAAAGGTTGGACGGCTACCCGATGATTCGCGATGGTGAAATTGGGCTCCGATTGATTCTGTGGTGTGCTGATTCTTGCACTACATGTGGAGACTTCAAGAAATTTCGAAAACTTCCAAACAAGGTCTGGACTTTAGAAAGAGGCACGTGTTGTTTCCTCAGAATGTTACGGATTCATGCACCGCAACGGGGAGATCGGAAATCAATTCATGAACGAGATATTAGCAAGTGTTTTCAACGCACTTCGAAAGGAGGGTGGATTTTACAAATGACTTTTTTTGTGTTTTTCATTTACCAAGTGTTAAACATTTGCACATAAATGAAATCCATACTTTTCGTTGTTCGATTCATACAATTCATCGTATTTTGAAGAGGAAGCACGATGCACAGAGCTGCAATTCTTACCTTGTCTGGAGGCCAATTTTTGCACTAAATGTATGATCGTCAAGAAATCTGGAAAATATCCATAAATGCATGAGCTCAAACTGGTGGTCTGTGGCGTCTAACACGAGGCTCAACGTTGCGATAGTGCGTGCCTAACTAATTTTGTTAAGTTTGCTTACATGTTACTTATATGTCCTGACCAAAATCTAAGTGATTCCATGCAAAGATCTAGTTTTAGCGTGGCTCTTTCCGTGAGGCTAAGAACAATTCCTCAGAGATTGATCATAACCAGTTATTCCTTGTTAAAATATTGTTTACAAATACAATCATTGCTCTCCATTGTGCGCTTTCAATGAAAAACAAATCGACCTATCACTAAAGTGATAAGTCATATATTTAAATGTCTAACAGTTAAACTGTTATTTCCACATATTTCCACCCATGCGCGATTTAGGATCAGGGAATGTCAGCCATTCGATGGCTGGAGGTGAAGGGTAGACAACGTATGGTGCCCTCGTGCAGAGATTGAGGTTAGGATTCCATCCTCATCGTAACATTCGATTTTTGCCGTATGTGAGACGGAGTAATCATTGAATCAGAATGTCGAATTCAAGGTGCGCTTTCTTTTGGGGGAAGATGGTTTATGCATTTTTGTTTCTGCATTTTTTAGCAAATTTTAACATTCTTTTTAAATTGAAATTTCTAGAAATTACAGAGAGACATATTCGAATTTTTCCGGAAAATGTTAAATTTGACTACATCCAGATGTTTATACGAAGTTTTTTTCTTTTTTGTACTGCGGAATTGTCCACTGCGATTGTGCTTAAGAATTTTTAATGTTTATCTGAGATATCTTGTACGAACAAAAGCACTCTGTAACGATTTTCCTATGTAAAATAATACGTAGAATATGATTCAACCAACGAGAAATTCTCTAAAATCAACTCCTCGAGAGGATATAAGTATTTAAAGATAAAATTAGGCAAAATTTTTTAAAAGACAAATGACATCATTGGTATTATCTGTGTTCCACTTGATCGGAATTAAGTGCTCATGCTGACATCTTACTTAGCTGATTGCCAAACTTACCGTTGGCTTGGTTCGTTGTACCGTTTGTTCGTTTTCACGTAATATTTTGAAGAGGGCTGGTACAACGAGGTACTTCAATTCACCCACTTACAATGAGTTCTCACGGGCTTTTAATCGCTGTTCCCCAGAACTTACTAGCATCGAAGCCGAGATCAAGCATTCCTTCAACAGCTTTCTTTTTGCGTAATGTCATCTCCTTGTTTTGGTATTAGTTTCCCCAAGCACGTAGATAGGTGCTTTTAAGATGAGGCAGAAGTATGGTGGTAACTTATTGCAAAGTCTTGTAAAATGAAGCTCTTGCATGTCATGGGTATTTGCAATTTAAGTTTCATGGCCTCATTTTTGAGAGCTTCTTTGAGCTGAAAAGTTAATTTTAGAGAAAACCAGTTCCACCATCGCTTTTCTGGCATAATTTTACACAAGAAGAAGCGTATAAAACACAAATACTTAACACATGCAAGAGCTCCGTTGAGCGTTTAAAAAAGTACTATTATCGTAAATCCCTGTGGCACCAAAAGCTCATTTCATGCCGTACCCAATTCGTCTCTCCTCCGAAGTGAGGGCGCGCGTATCTCAAATTCCACATGATCCCCAAAACGCATGTATTTATACCGGGAACAGGGCTCACGTGAAAATTGAGATACGCTTTTACATCAGAAGAGCGATGAATTTTTTATTGCTAAATCGTCATCTTCTGGCCAAAGTATCGCAAGCGCCATGCGACGTTTAAAAATTCCGCCGCCGTTTTTTTTAATACAGAGAAACTGTCGGTTGAATCTGCTTGAAAATTTCTCTGAATTTCATTGGCAGCCCAAAGAAAATTCAGTGAAATTTTCGGACAGCTTCGTTTAACAATTTTTCCGAAAAAAAAAAATAAAATGGCGGCAGAAATTTTTAAACGTCGCATACTTGAACTCTCGCCGCCTGTGATACTTCGGCCGGAAGGTGACGAAATGAAGTTTGTTTCACCGTTCACTGGAAAGAAAAACACATTGGATCTAGAGTCCAAACTCTTAAAACATCGACAAGAAAAAATACTTTTGCTTCAATCAGATTTAAGCTTAAATCAAGAACCAAGCCTTTTAATATGAGCGGATGGCCTTTTGATTTAAGCTTAAATCTGCTTGAATCAAGAGTCCTTCTTCTTGTCAATGTTTTCAAGAGTCTGGACTCTAGATCCAATGTGTTTTTTTGTCCAACGCGACATTCAATCACAGCATCGTCCTTTAAATACGCATGATTTTGAACGATCGTACAACAAAGAGTTCATTTTTTTCCTAGCGAGTCCCCAAATCTGTTACCAAAGTCATTACAGGACAGGTTCTGATTTGTTGTAAATGCCCTTTTGTTTTGGATTTGCGAAAATTTCTCTAAACATCTTTTTGAACTTCCCTCACAAATCAACACGGAGTGCTCCGCTCTCTGCTCCAAGTGAGATGTTGCGCCGATAAGGAAAAAATTAAGAAACGAGACCGGATTGCGCGTCCTCCTATGTTCATGTAAATGTTCATGTTAATGTCCATGTATGTGTTGCTCATGTAACTCCTGGAGCGCCCCTACAAGTACGAAAATTAAAAAAAAAACCACAACAATGGAAATAAAGCAAAATAATGGACGTGCGTTGACGACGGCGCAGAGATACAACTATTCGTACTCGATGGATGACCGCGTTGCGTCTGCAAAATTGAAGGCGCGATGACACAGTGCATGAACTTGCAGTGCTTCGTTCTATGCTGTCATTGAGTGTCGCAAGAAGAAAAGTTAGAAAACGAGACCGCATAAGTCTCTCTTACATTTGGCTGTATTGCTCGCGTAACTCTTGAGTCTTGACAAACACAAATCACTACAAATATGACAAACGGAAAAATACCAATTTGGAAAAAGAGCGTAGAACAATGGAAATGGCGAGTGTTAATAGCAGCCACGGCGCAGAGGAAAAACTATTCGTGCTTGATGGATGTCCGTGTTGCATGTGCAAAATTGAAGGCGCGATGGCGAGGGACCAGAACTACTCAAAATTCTATGCTGAGTCGGCTCGGGAGAACAGTTGAAAAACGAGTTCCGACTACGCCTTTCCTATAATCGACTATGTTTCTTGCGCACCTCTTGAAGCTCCATTACGAATATGACAGATGAAAAAAAAGCACAATATGGAAGTAAAATAAAAGATAGGAGTAGGACGCGCGTTGACGACGGCGCAGAGATACAACTATTCGTACTCGATGGATGTCCGTGTTGCATGTGCAAAATTGAAGGCGCGATGGCGCGACGCATAAACTCGCAATGCTCTGCTCGATGCTGCCAATGAGGCGTCGCTTCGATGAAGGAAAAGAGTTAAAAAAACGAGGCAAGATTACGTATCTCCTATTACCTGCCTTGCTGCCTTGAGGATCACTACAAATGACCGGTGGGAAAAACACAAGATGAAAATAAAAGCAAATTTGAGCAAATATGTTGAAAATTATTCTCTTTTATAAAAAAAAAAAAAAGTTGGAGGCTTACGTACTCAGGCTCCGCTCAAATTAAGAGGCTTGGTTCTTGATTTGAGCTGAAAGCTGATTGAATCAAGAGTATTTTTTCTTGTCGATGTTTTCAAGAGTCCGGACTCTAGATCCAATGTGTTTTTTTTTTTCAGTGTTCCTTCCGGTATGTATCCGTCATTGACGTGGCGCTGAGCTTGTATTACGGGCGAGAGCAGTTTCAGGAGCGATTTTCATATTTTTATTAAACGAGCGCAGAGACGCATGGGTTGAGCGAGTTGCGGAGCATGCGTAATTACAATGCGGAAAGGAGTCGTTGCGGTCAAGTTAAACGCCACCCAATCGAGGCCCGGGAGGCTCCGAGGTGCGAAAGGAAATGAAGGGGTTGAGCAGGGGCAAATTGGGCAGTGGTCACAGAGCGAGGTGCGTAAACACCTTGCAGACGCAGTGACCTCCTCGAAATATTGAGATCTGCGTTGCCGACACAGTCGTGCTACAGAAGAGAACAGTATCGCCAAAAAATAGTCTTTAATGGCTGGACTCTTTGCAATTAGGAACTACAAGTCCTGGCTCATTTGTTAAAACACTAATGAGCGTAGGGAAATTGATGGTGTAAAAACTTCACAACGCTTTACAATTTTCGGCTGTTCAGTAACCTCCCTTTGTCTTTTATTCTATCGGTTGCATACTGTAAATATTGCACTCAATATCTGCCTCTTCCTTCCTTTTTAATGATTCAACTTACTAATATTAGTCTAGCTATTGAAAGTAGCTCCAATAGGTATACATACGTTAATCTTATACTGAGCCAGAAATTGTTGCTCCGAATCTCAAAATGTAGTCCAACTCGTCGTTATCCGGATAATTTCTAATCCACCGGTAAAAATATGAATTTGAATTCGTATATTACTCATTTTAGATCACCTTCAATCACGACTATGCAATCAGCGCCCCCTGAGAGTTAAAATAGTTGCCGATCTCATCAATTACTATTGCAGCTTCTCATACACTTGAAAAAATATGAATTTGAATTTGTATATTACTAATCGTAGATCGCCTTCAATTGCACGACTATGCAATCAGCGCCTCCTGAGAGTTAAAATAGTCGCCGATCCTTTTAATGTTTGCAGCTACTATTCTTTCCGTCCACCTTTTACGAAAAAAAGGAAGAATAGAAACGTCACAGTGATTCTTCCTGTCCGGCGAAACCGTTCCTGATCTGGTCCATTTTGGCAACAGTTCGGCCTGGACAACCGGACGAAGCTGGCCATGCGATGTGCCGTCCACGGACATCTTCGCTACAATTAATTGTCGGTTCGATGATCACCGTGGTATTTTCAAGTGCGAATTTTTTCGGCCCTACAAGGGTAGGCACGCATACAACTCCCGGTAGTTCGACTAGCCGCGTGCCATGTGATAGATACATCGATATCATTTTCGATTGATCCGTATACGAAGGAGCCAAATATCGATGTCTGTTCAATCGATGTGCACAGTTCATCAGCTTTCGACGCTTCCTTTGTTTCCTGTTGTTCTGGTTCGAATTGCGCATCGACAAAGACTTGACCCCGTACTGCCTCGGTTCATATCCATCGGTGACTTTTTTCTGAGTCTCTCATTCTGACAGTTTATGAATTTGGAAATACGACACCAACTCAATTTTTTCAACCAAAGAGCATCACTAACCCTCTGCTGAGACTTTTTTGTTTAACAAATAATACTCGTCTCCTGATAAACATAGGGCCAATTTTTTGCTTTTAGTCTATCAGCAAATTCCATCCTATCCCCATGTTTTAATGAATATCCCTATTTTCATGCAACTCCCAAGCCCCGTTCCTCTACGAGTATGCTAAATGCGTGTGTGTGGGAGGGGAGGGGGTTCTTCTTGTTTGCTAAACTTATCTAGGTACTCAACGTGAAATTTGTGCGGTGAGTTTTGTGGGTAAACATTATAATCTGATAAACAATGATAATTCGCTGAGCATACTTTTCAACTGTCTCTCAAGTAAGCATGAATAAACGTCAAAAAGATAAGATAACCAATGCACATACAGGGTTATTCAAAAGTTACGCACCACTGGCCATACTTCAGTTCCAATTATAATATCGATTTGCGGTTTAAAATGTTTTTCCTCATATCGAGGGGGAAACTTTTTCAGGTACTTTCCAGTTTTTGATCCCCTCCGGGGAAGGGGGGGTGAGAGGCATTTCAAAAATTTCAAATGGCCACCCCCCTCATAGCCGGTGGTGCGTGACTTTTGAATAACCCTGTATGACATCATTGAGGCTGTTGAGTAAGCTTAAAACAAAGAACGGAGGCAGTTAGACGCATGAGTAGCTAGGACTTTGACGCAGACGGTGTGCTTCTTCCGTAAAATTCAGCGCGTAAACGCGAATGTTCTAATTATAAATTCTTAAAAACAAGTCAGCATCCATGACAGTGTGAATTCTGTCAATGAAATGCCGGTGCATGAAGTGGAAAAATTATGCCAAGAATATATAATCTGTAGCTGTTGAACGCAGTTGTTCCCATGATTGGCCTCCTGCGTTTCTCTATTCGATCATTTAATGTCAGCCCAAGCTCGTATAAGCATTTAGTGTGATTCTCTGAGTCTTGTCTTACGGTTGTGGATATTCAGTGTGTGTTTCCTTTCAGCCTTTCAGCATTTTAGCTGACATACAGCATCGGAGAATCTACCCTGCAACCAGGTATGAACACACACCTGTTTCTTCCGTCTTACAACTATTATACTGCAATAAGTTACTCTAAACACAGTCTTGCGTCACCCTTTAAGACTATGCTTCCTGTATGCATGATGATGTCGAGGGCTAAAGAACAATACTATGCTTAACCGAAAATTTTGGATAAAATAAACTGGTGGCTTAGCCGCATTCTACAGTATGATTTACGCAAGCTGATGTTTAGTTTTTACCAAGTCCACATGGAAGCGAGGCTGTAATGCATTAAAAAAATTGCAAACTCAACCTCAAAACAAAAATGGCAAGTTTTTTTTTCATCCTTTAAAATCGTAAGTTTGTAGATAAGCAGTGACGTGGCGTGAATGATCGATTATCGATAATTCTCCATTTGAAGCTGTAGTAAAGAATCGATTATCAAGTTGTTCGCTGCGAACACCTTGATAATCGATCCTTTTCCATAGATTCAAATGGCAGATCAATCGATATATCGCAAAACAGGTCACGCCACTGCAGATAAGCGGTATTGCTCCTTCGCAATCAATGTGCATACGTATCTTTATCACCCAGATAAACCATTAAAAACTTTGTAAATTATTTTAACCTTATCTTTCTCTATTTTCTTTCAAAACTACAAAAGACAAGTCGGTCCTCTTTGGTGCAATTGCAGCTCAATGATCAATATTTTTAATTATCAATTACTGTGAGATTTTGCCCAGAGTCATTAAAATTTGAGCACACCAAACTTTTTAAACTTTTTGAGTTTTAAAATATGCTTCCGTAAGTCAGAATATTTGCTTCAAATTTTCTTTCATAGTCGGAAAATCTCTGTTTTGTCAGCTCGGCAACAGAGCGCGCAAGATCTAATAGTTATTTTCCAATGAGCAGAGTTGCAGATCAGGGTTGCCAGTTTTCCGACGAAAACCCCTCGCACAATCTTATTTTAAGCCTAAAAAGCAATGATTTTTCCTCGATCAGACAGCGTTACTGCGGACTCGCGAACCCCGAACCACGCGCCTAGCCGCTCATCATTCCTCGCTTCCGGCCAACTAAACGCATTCCGCGACTCTTCCATTCGCAACCAACCCCCCCCCCTCCCCACCGGCCGCGAATGCGCGCGCATGCGCAGACCGGCTGAAGGGAGAAAAATTAATACGATTAGCGACTCAAGGTTGACCGGCGCACTGACAGCCACGTTAATTGCTTGTTGTTTCAACTTGGGTCGACCACACTAAGTCAAAGATTTCATATTTTCAGCAAGCACCTAAGTGCATATTTTGCTTCAATAATGTGGTTTCTACTTGTTTCAAAAAGGACCATTTAGATATTTAGATTTGCGATATTTATATTGTAGTTTATTGTGCTCGATACTGGATGGTCTGACAAACAGGGCTATGCCCTAGTTGTTCGAGGAAGAAGAAGAAAAAGATCCATTCATGCTTTTCTGGTGAATTCTCAAAGCGTATGCAAAAGTAACCGTCATATTGTGTTAATGTGGGAATAAGTAGAACACAAAGTAACCTGAACCGGCGGTTAAAATGTTTTGGTTAGTCTTTCTTTTGGTTACATTGACCAAATCTTTGGATTACGTTGACTACATTTGATTACAAATGTGTTACCTCGTTGAAAATCAGATGCAAGCCATCTGGACCGAATTTGGTCATAGTTCAACGCGTTAGCCGTAAGCTTTGAATGACAATGAGAGAAATTAGAGTACATTAGTTCCTGCAGGACACTTTCTTAGCCCCAGATGTCTCAGAGTAACTTACATATGGTTCCGGTCGATTTAACCAAAAATTTAGTTGATCTGAGCGAAAAAAGTAACTCAATCTGACCCAAATTAACCATAAACATGGAAATTTTTAGATGTGTCGACTTACACCCATTCTGTCGTACTACAGAAAAACACCGTTTGAGCCTTCAGACGTTACCCAGTTTCCTTCGATAAAAACCCAATTTACTGGGTAAATTGTGAATATATTTTTCCAAAATTTTCAGACAATTTTGTACGCAATTTAATCTAAAATATCTGAAATTTCAAGGAAAAATATGCACGAATGTCGTCAAAAACGCATGTCTTACCAATGGAAATTCGACAACTCTTGAATGTTCATACGGCGTTCTTCCTTAGCACGGCAGCATAGTCGTGGCATCTAAAATGACGGAGATAGGTTCGCTTTAGAATTTTTAACAGAGTAGATAAAAGTTTTTCGAGATGGGATATTTTTTGTTAAATTTGACTACAATAGACGACCTACACTTAAGTCAAGAGGGATTTACCAATTACTCTATGAAGCACACACTCGATAGGGAGGAAATTTCCCCGGCTCGCGGAATGGGAGGATCCGAGCTGTCCAGAAGCTGAGGCCGCCAAAGCCCGGTGGCGCAATCTACGAGTAAATCGTCGTACCTCTGACGTAAGGGCGTATCTTAATTTCCACGTGAACTCTGTTTTACATAGGAATCCATGCTTTCTGGGGCTCATGCAGGAATCGAGATACGCCCTTACATCAGAGGGACGACGAAATGACGGAATGGGCACTGAGTTCGCGCATCGCCGATACCACCATTACCGCTCATTTTCCGGATCCATAGGCCATGCTCACTGTACGTGGCCTATTTACACCGTTGTTAAGTTCACGTCGAGGATCGGCCTTTCCTCTGAAAACAAGAGAAAATTCAGGGTTTTTGTGTAAAATTTGGCGGCTAGGTATTAAGTCAATTTTAAAATTATGGCATTATTATCGACGTCCTGGCTCATTCCTGCAACGGGAGCCGGAGAGGGCTGGCCAAGAAGCTTCCCGCCAATAAAACCCGTAGTTGTCAAGTTTTAGACCAAAGTTTGAAGCCGAGAAAGTTTCAAATATCGCTGTTCCTCCGACTATGAACGTAACTACTTTATAAAGTTGTTGAGTTTCCACTCGAAAAGTCTATTTTTAACGAGTAATTGATAGATCGATTTTTCTCCTGTTCATAGTAGAGTCCACGGATAAAAAAAGGCTCGAGTTTGTTGTGTGATATGGACTTTTCCAATTAATTGTGGTTGTACACGAATTAATCGTGGTCGTACCCCAATAAATTAGGTTACTAACCCACACGGAGAAAAAAACTTCTTGCGTGGGACCCAAAGTTTAGGTCATATGGATCCCTGAAGTTTTCGGATTGAGCATCCGAACACTTAAGGCCCAGCTGCTGAGGTTTGGATCACACGTCTGAAACTTCAGTTCTTACATCTGAAGTATTTTGGTTTTTACATCCGAAAAACTTCGGTTCTTACATCTGAAGTACTTCAGATGTAAGGACTGAAGTTTCAGATGTGTGATCCGAACCTCGAAAGCTAGACCTGTGTTCAGATGCTCAATCTGAAAACTTCAGAGATCCATAAGACCTAAACTTCGGGTCCCACGCACGAGGTTTTTTTCTCCGTGCAAAAATGTTGCAGTACTACCCTAACTAGTAGTTGCGGTTCTACCACAATTAATTAGAACTGTCCGTATCATCCAACAAATTGTGGTAGTAGCACAATTTTAGGGGATAACCCCTAGCACTTTTTTCCATGTCTAATTCGTCCGGATTATTTCAGAATCGACCTGGTCATCAGTTGGATCGAGATTCAACTAATCAAAAAATTAAAAACCGATACCTAGGACCAATGAAAATTGTGTACAAACAGAGTGTGCTATTACGTACTGACTTAGTAGGAAAGCTTGAAGAATGCAGTGTCTTTTTCGAATCAAGTGCGCTGAGTGAGTAATCACTAACCTCACTTGATCTTTGCACCATCGCGTGACTGTGAGGAGTATAGGGTGACAAAGCGATTGAGATTTTGGCCGCTAGCTCATTCTCACCCACCAAATTCTTAGTTTATGTATCGATATCGGTTGATCGAGGATCGATCCGACTGCAAGCGTGAAACCTAGCAAAATTTTAAACAAAAATTTCAGTTTCATTCTTATATAATAAGAATTGTTTGAGTCCATCATGCAATCTCAGAATGGTGTGCATATCGTGAACCATACTATTTTTGGCAAGTTTTCTATGACATTGGGCTTCCTCGATCTCTAGGGGTAAAAAACTGAGCTTTTGCGAATAAACGGAAAGATTTAAGTTCCTGGTTCAAAGATTCATTCTCAAATCTCTTGATCGATGAATCATTTTAGACACATTTTTGAAGGACCATCGGTGATAAATTGCTTCGCTAGCTCCGATTCAGGGGCCCAATACATTAAGTAGAATAAAAACTTCAGCTCATCATATGTTACATTACATATTTCCGGAATGGGAATTGAAATTTTTGTCAGGCGAAAAGTGAGCATCGTGTATTTCACACAAATTTTCGGTTATTCAAACTGAAGTTCAGTTTGTAGGACTGAACATCACTGTTGCCTGGACCGAAATCTTCAGCGGTGGAGTGGTCTGCTTTGCGATGTATCGGTTGATCTGTCATTTAAACCTATGGAAAAGGATTGATGAACAGAATGTTCGCACCGAACTCCTAAATAATCGATTCCTTACCATAGTTTCAAATGGGGAAATCTCGATAACCGATCGATCATTCACGCTTCGTCATTGATCCTTAGAGTTCCATATGAAGTGATTTATTGTAACCTTTATTGTAACCTTTATTGTAACCTTTATTGTAACCTCTATTGTAACCGAATTGTTTTTCTTCCTGTCTTGGTCACGTTAGGACTCTATGCGTTTATCTTTATTATCTCTGAAGAGTGCAAAACTTGTTTGCAAGAATGTATAATCCTATCTCATCGTGTTAGGCCATGTTTTGTCGTGTTTGGTGCCAGAATAAGGTGGCGTGGGTTTTGAGTGCAAGATAACTGGGTTTATTAAAATGTATCAGTAGAATTTCTCTCAGCCTTTACGCCGTGGCTTAAATCATGGTTTAATTTTAATTACTTTTCAAGAAATGGGCTTCCTTTTTTAATCCTGAGAATATTAAATACATAAGGAGCACGTTCCCTAACCGCTTCCGGGTCCAACCCCCCGAAGCGCTTCGCGCCTTACGCATTCCTTGTTACGCGTTCATTTTATATCATAGAGTATGATATGATATGATTTGAGATGTGTGCACACAGATACAATGTGCCACCTTTTCCGAAGAAGAGGAAGTGGAGGTACCTACCTATTTTTTTAAGTTCTCTTTAACAAATGAGCCTAAAATAGACCACGTCAAGCAGAAAGGAACCAAGCCACATCAGCTATTGCTATATTTAATTGGGTTATTTAATTTTTTACATGGAAACTGTCGTGCGGATTTTTCTGCGAATTTCGGTGAATTTTCCGCAAAGTGCGCAGCAAATTCCATTAAATGTTTAAATGAATCCGCGTACAAGCTCTCTTGTAGAAAATCAAATTGCCCGGTTAAATTTTGCAACAACTAATATAGCTTGGTTCCTTTCCGCTAAACGAGATCCAATAATAGTTCCTTACTCACTGGACAAAAAACACATTGGATCTAGAGTCCAGACTCTTGAAAACATTGACAAGAAAAAGGACTCTTGATTTAATCAGATTTAAGCTTAAATCAAGAACCAAGCCTCTTAATTTGAGCGGGTTTCCTTTTGATTTAAGCAAAAATCTGATTGAATCAAGAGTATTTTTTCTTGTCGATGTTTTTAAGAGTCTGTACGCTAGATCCGATGTGTTTTTTTTTTCCAGTGCTGCAAAAAAGAGTCTATTCGATAGCTCTGATTTCACGGAGCGGGTCTCACCGTCGGATTCGCGAATCCACACCGACATCGCAACAGCGGGCTCAGCTGTAGCCTGGAGTCAAAATACCGGACCCGTGCAATTTATAGTTCAGCTTCTATCCAATTAAGTTTCTTATAAGTACTTAATAATGTTTAAAAATAATAGTTCATCTAAATATCATCCTTCTAACCTTCGTGCAGTTTCAATCAGCTTCGTATAGGTGCACTCTTTGCACCTCGCTGCGTCCCTCTGTTTTTCGCGTGCCCCTCATCGTGAAAAAGAACGTATCTACGTCTGTGTATACTTCAGTGCTGAGGAAGAACGCTATATGAGCCTTCAGAGGCTGTCATATTTTCTCACATAAAAAACGAAGTTATTGGACAAACTGTTAGAAGCTCAGTTTTTTCTTACGTAATTTACTTCAATCTTAAATAACTGGAAATGTCAAGGAAAAATATTTATAACTTTTTACCAAAAATGTATGTTTTATCTGGGAAAATTTGGCAACTTTCGATTGTTCATACGACGTTCTTCCTTAGCACGGCAGTGTAAGTCTCAATAGCTTCATAACTATACCGTCGTTGGAGCCTCATTGTTTCGCACTTTAGCCATTCCAGCGATTCCCATATCCTATGAGTAAAACTAAACACAGGTTTCCCTCTTTTCGGGCTGGAAATTTTCGATGATTTTCAAGTCCCATACCGCATCTGTTACTTCAAAAGAGGAAGAAGCTATGCCATTTTTAAACAATAGAGATACGTGGTGTCGCACTAGTTATCTCTGGTTGAGTTTCTCCCGTCAAACGGAAAGGAATCGACGAAATTAAGACGCCTTGACCAACGGACCGTCCAGCAACACGTAGCAGATGCCCTATCGCGAATTCGCGAATTCCTGAGGCCAATAATTTAAAACACACCCCACGAAACAGCCCGGCCAATATCCTCCGCGAGGAAGCGACGGTTGAAAAAAAAAAATCCTCGCGGACTCGAGACCAATAGTACGTATTTCAGCCGAACGGAGCTATGCGCATTAAGACATGAGCCCTGAGACCCTTTAGAATATGCGCATAACAGGGCTCATGTCATAATGCACATAGTGCCGTTCGGCAGAAATCCGTCCAATAACTCGCAACGGTGGCCCGAGGCACGTCCGTTCGTTCCTCAGACGTGGTCACTTAATTAAAACGTATAAATCATCGAGATAAGAAAAAAAAGGGGGAAATAAAAAAAAGAGGCACCACAGACACAGAGCTGGGCTCCTTACTTTTTTCCCTGGAAACGACCGTAAAATCCTAATTAGGAGTTTAAAAAGTAGGAGCAAAAATCGCCGGATGGGGTGGGGGAGGGGGGTGGAACTATTAATGGTAGGTCGGACGCTGCGTAGAGCGAAGCACCTGTTGGGTAGATGTCCGGTCGATGGTGATTGTCGGTTGCGGTGGTGACGGTAGCAGTAACCCTTCTGATTGGTGCCCGCGGTTATTTATTTGTCGCTGGCGGACATGCGGACACTCTAACAAACGCCGCGTTGCCATTCTTTGATGGTGGAGAAGCACAGGGACAAAATAAATTTGAGACCTTGGTCAGAGGGCCTCCAATGGAGATGTTGTATGTGTGAGGAATTTACGATTTGACTATTGATTCTTATATAAAAGTTTGCGAGAAACACGGTGGTGCCACTGGTTTTCTCTGAAATCAACTCCCAAGCTCAAAAAAAGCTCTCAAGTTGAGACCAAAATGGAGGGGATATCCCACGCTATCCTGAGAGTCCACCTCTATACATCAAGACAAACTCTCCATGCTAAGACAGGGAGCATATACATTGACACTTGACAGGGCTGCCACCTTATTTGGGGACTCTTAAACTGAAATCACGGCAACCCTGTCAATGTATTTGCTCCCTATCTTTGCACGGAGAGTTGGATTACATTTTGCAATAAGGAACCACTATTTCTTGCTCATTTCAGAAACAACATAAATGTCATTGGTTTCCCTATGCAGAAAGGTGCTTTTATAGAAGAGCGAGAGATGATGGTGCCTTATTGCAAAATGTAATCCAGTTTGTCTTGATGTAGAGGTGGACTCTCGCAGGATAGCGTGTTATATCCCCTCCATTTTGGCCTCAACTTGAGAGCTTTTTTTGAGCTTGGGAGTCGATTTCAGAGAAACCAGTTGCACCATCGTGTTTCTCGCGAAGTTTTACAGATAATCAACAGTCAAATCGCAAATTCTTCACACATGCAGCATTACCATCGCAAGGCGAGAATGATCAATTATCGATATTCCTCCATTTGAAGCTATGCTACAGAATCGATCATTAAGGCGCTCGTTGCGAACACCCTGTTCCTCGATCCTTTTCTATATTAAATGACAGATTAAACAATACATCTCAAAGCACGCCACGCCACCGAACACCTCCCATGGTATTGAAATTGAATCAGTGAGAACGAAAACAGACCAACTCGAAAAATGACAGTAATCATGACGCAGACAAAACTGCACGGTAGGTGAAGAAGTTAGTCTGAGAAAAATATTTTTGGTGCCGAAAGACAAGCACTTCAGGACACTTTAAAGGTCCGAGTTAGAAGAGAAGCGCTAACTTCAATTATCTTCATGAAAATTCGCTGTCTCAAATGAAAATTGAGCATTTTTGGGATACCAAGTTGGTATGTGTTTCGTTTTCATCGATTCAATTTTGGACGGTATGCTCACTTTGATTTTTCGAGAATAAATGGATTGCATTTTGCTCAAAGGAACCAAGAGCATTCCAATGATGCTAAGATTGGGCAACATAAATTATTTGCAAAAAAATCTCAGAAATCATAAGGGAAATAAAATTTACGAAGGTAATTTGCGTCTTAAATTCATAGTTTAATGAGAGTATAGATAAATCTTGTTTAGATGATCAGTTTCTATTTGCTAGGTAAAAAATTATGCATAATCTTAGCGTCATTGGAAAACTTGTGGTTCCTTTTTGCAAAATGCAGTCCAAATGGTCCTCGTTCAAGTGAGCATGGAGTCCGAGATCTTGGACGTGATGAGCAGCCGAACATTCTATAGGTGAGTATGGAGTCCAATATCACGGACGCAATGCTACATTACCGTCTAGACCCGCGAAAAATCGTTAATACAAAGGTGGTTGGCGAATAAAACGTTTGGCAACGAAGGAAGAAGCCCACGGTCCCTTGATCTATTACACTCCTCAATTAGAGACGTGAAAAAATATCCCGATTCCGAAAGAGTGCAAGCGGACAACCCAGCAGAAGAATCGAATCATTAATCGTTGTAGACGATTGAGCCGACGGCATTTAGTGGCAGCTGATTCTTTTAATGAAGCCCAGTCGCGGGTTCCTCTTCAGTGGCGTGGCGTGAATTGCGATATATCGATTGTTATGCCATTTAAACCTATGAAAAAAGATCGATTATCAGGGTGTTCGCAGCGAACACCTTAGTAATCGATTCTTTACCATAGCTTCAAATGGCGAGATATCGATAATCGATTATTCACGCCACGCCACTATTCTTTTTCTCTCAGTCCGCGCGCAAGAGCAACTTTGTAGAACCAAGCCACGGTCGACAAAAATAACGTCCACTTCTCCTAATCCGCCGTGCTAAGGAATAACGCCGTATGAACATTCGAGAGTTGCCAAATTTCCTTTGATGAGATTTTTATTTTTAAGGAAATTTATGAATATTTTTCCTCGAAAGTTTCAGGAACTTTAGCTCAAAGTACGAACAAAATTCTCTTAAAAATTGGTAGGAAAATATTCATAAGTTGACCAGGGTATTCATGTTTTATCAAAGAAAATTTGGCAACGCCTGAAGGTTCATACGGCTTTTTTCCTCAGCACGCAGTAATCCTCCAGACTCACTTGCTGGGGATACTCATTTCTTCACACTGCATCTTCATTTTGTTCTCTGTGTCTCAGGGTTTTAAAATTGTTAAAAGCTTCCGGTAGATTCCGTCTGCCGAGGGTCAAATATTCAAGGTACGAAATCAAGCTTCGGAATTTTTTCTGCCATAATTTGTCGTTTCCCAGACAAAAGAACGTAACTAAATTGCTCCAAGTGACTATGGTCTAAAAATGCTTTTATCAAGAGGTTATTAGCATCAAATGGAAATGTACTTGTTTCAAGCTATCTCATTCTTGATGCAGGAAGGAATACTTCTGCTTAAATCAAGCCACTTCTTTCTCAGTGAACTATAACTACGAACGAATGTAAAGTTTAGTGTAATTCTCAGCTCTTGTAGTTTAGTTGTAAGCTTTCTGCTGAAATTAAAAACTGAAGTTTTTGACAGAAACCAGAAATGGGAACGAAGGCCCCTGCGTCAGGATTGAAGATAGTGACCTTGAAACCGATTGAAGCAACCCCAGAGAACTTTAAGGAATATGGACAAATCTGTGGACCAATGGCAAATGATCATAAATATGGTCCTGATGATGCGCAACTAGACCTGTCGCAAGGGACTCCCAGGTAAATTATTATTTTTTTTTTTTTTTGGAGCAATATTTGATGCTCAGTTCCTCTCTTAAAAACTCAGAAAGCACTCAAGTACACATTCAATAATAAGAGCGCAAAACAACGCAGAGACACACAAAAAATATTTCACGCTTCTCTTCAATACCGTAGAGTGATGGTGTGATATACGTATAGTAGACGTTAAAACTTAGCATTTGGACGGATCTTCAGTAGTACATGCAATACGTAATAACTAATCAGTATATGTGTGCCTGGTCGATTGAAAATCAAAAACAAAACTGTACGAATTACTATAAAACTCTAAAATTATAAAACTGAATAAGTATGTGTTATTTGTAAGGAGCATGGTAGTGGTACTTCAAAAAATCTACATATAATCTTCTACCCTCAAACAAATATATTCTTTGAAAAGATATAACTCAAATCAGTGTATACTGCGATGAAACTCAATATATCTAGTTTCTATGTGAGCAGGAAGTGTGAAATTTTGACGATGAAACCAATAAACTACGTACTTCGGTTGCAGTGTTTCATAATGTCCCATCTTACTTCATTTTTTAAAAAAAGACCTACTTAGCATTATGACTTGGGGTTTTCCCAGATTACCCATCACGCAGACAATAAAATTCACCGAAATTTTCAAAAATTGACGTTTGGTAGTTTTCTACATAGAAAGTTAACTAAGGCAGGAAGTCTGCAATACCGCGAGCTGAGGTACATATATCCGCAGTTTCACCATCAATTTGGAAAGTTTCAATGCGCCCATCGAATTTCAAGTACAGTTCTGATGCAGAAACATGCATTGTGTGGCGCACCTTGTCTAGTGGTCTATTAACTCTTATTACAACATTTAGTTTTCCTGGTACTTTTATTTTACTTTGATCCCATTTTACGATTTCCTCAGGTTGTACATGATGCATCTGCCAGACCGGCAACTGAAATTCGAAAAGATGGCGCATCATGCAAGAACGACCCAATGCCTTGGCTCCAACGGGGGTCACGTCTGGTACATGGGCGTAGCAAAAGCATCTGTAGTGAAACCAGAAGAAGTTAGCGAAGAAGACAAGAAGAAACTGGTGCAGTCATATGCGGGACATTACTACATGCCCCCATCAGCAGACGAAGTCCGCGTGTTCAGAATTTCAGGTCCCAAGTTCATGAAACTGAACCGGGGAACGTGGCATGCTGGTCCATTGTATAGGAAAGCTGATGGCATGGACTTTTACAACTTGGAATTGGCCGATACAAATGTGAGCTCCTACTTTTTCATACTTATACACACCTCAAAATACCTCATTTTTCTTGTTCGGTACACTAAAAAGAGCTATGGTCAAAATTCTCATATTATGGTGTTCCAATTCAGTTTTCAATAACAGTAGCCCCAGACTGGAAAAAAACACATTGGATCTAGAGTCCAGACTCTTAAAACATCGACAAGAAAAAATACTCTTGATTCAATCAGATTTAAGCTTAAATCATGAACCAAGCCTCTTAATTTGAGCGGATTTCCTTTTAATTTAAGGTTAAATCCGATTGAATCAAGAGTCCTTTTTCTTGTCAATGTTTTCAAGAGGCTGGACTCTAGATCCAATGTGCTTTTTTTTCCATTGCAGTCATAAATTGTGGTATTATTACGATTAGACGCGAATATTACCAACATGACGGTATAATTACCGATGTAAATGATAAAACTATCACTTAATGATAGAAGTACCACTAGGTATTACAAATTAAGTGATCTTATGAAAACCCACTGGCGCGGCAATCTTAACCATTGATTTTCTTTCATGTGTAAGTTTTGGATTTTTTAGATAGTCCTCTTCATAAGATAATGCTTAAGATGTTTAAAAAGATGATTAAACGCTATACAAGTGAGGCATCAAGATATACATTCCAAATGTACAAAAAGTACCTATACCAACATGCCGCGATTGAGGAACCGTTTGATCGAGTCTAGTTTACTTTAACATTTTGAGGGATCCATGTAGGATCATGTGAGGTGAATTTTTTCGTAATTTTGAGAGATACAGGTTTGAAGTTTAAAAATCGTTTAGGACTTTAAGATCCAAGATGAGGTTTTGAGGCTAATAATGTAGTTTTGACATTTTTCCTGCATACAATCGAATGGAATACAAGTAGTTTAAATTAATTTAATCGAAATAGTCAAGACCCACGATACTATCGCACCATGACATATTTAACATTATAGTGGATTGGACCCTCAATTTAAAACTGAAACGAAAAGCTGTCGAAAAATTACCTTTGTTCATGAAATGTCAATAGCATGACACATCAAAATTTAAAAAATTATCTAAAATTTTGTTCATGTCATTTGTCCATAGGATGTGGATTTCACGGAGTATAATTTTGTCGAAGAAAAAGGAGTCACATTTCTGATCGATAACTAGATGCCACCTCTCAACTTCCATCCCACCGTCATTACCAACCGCTTTCAAACAGCAGTATCCAGTATTATGAAAATGTAACAAAGTGATATGAAGATATGGGAGCTTTTCCTCCATCTTTCATTCTCTTTTTTTTTTCAAAAATGTCACTCATGTTGATACTTTATTTTTGCAACGATGCGCTGGTTATTCAATTTTGCCATTGTGCAACGCCTCTTGATGAAGATCCCAGTATGAATAGTCTACGCTCCTCATACATCTAAAAACAAAGCTGGCTGGACTCATTATTAGGCATAATAAATTGATCGTATGGAAATAGGTTGTATTTATGCTAAAAAGGACTACGTAGGTACTAAGGTAATGTAGCTCACCTAAATTTCACTAAAATAAGCACTTTTATTGTTAAATGTTTTGGTGCTTGGTCGATAAAATTACCTGGTGGTTACTACACAATCAGAAAATTTTCATCGCCTCGCCTGATCTACCTCCACCGACACTTGTTCGTTCGTTAAGTATTATTTGAGAATTTAAAACTGTTAATGATTATTTATATTATAGTTTTCCAAATAAAATAATGATTGATCATTAATACTGTGGTTCCAAGTAAAAACGTTTTATCTCCTATATACTCATACATTTGGACCGTGTTCAGCAAAAAGGCAGCAAGCCACATCAGCTACTGCCAAAGACTGGAAAATTTAATTTGTTACATGTAAATGGTTGTGCGGATTTTTGTGCACATTTCAATGAATTGTCTGCATAGTAAACAGAATTTTCCTTTAAATTTTCAAAGGAATCCGCAAAAACGTTCTCTTGTAAAAAAAAAAATTTAATTCCCCAGATGTGGCTCGGTTCCTCTCTGCTAAACGCGGTCCATTTTTGTACATCAATTCTAATCCCTCCGAATAATTTAATTTCACTTTCTATCCTATGAATTATGAGAACGCAAACCTTTGGACAACCCTACCTTGCTCGCGCGCTTACGTTGGGAGTGGTCAAGAGTTGATTGACAGCTCGTGTACGCTGGACGCTGGAAGACGAACGGCAGAGTGCGAAACGGTAGTGCACCATGTCCGGTGGCCAACGTGTGCCCACGCCTAGATCCCGCGATTATGGGAGCAGGCTTGCGCCGCCGTCGATATATCGAAACTCGATATATTACACGCGAGGGATAGGGAGGGTCGATCGGAATCGATGGGTCGGGTCACACGTGAGGCCAAAGGTCTTCGACTGCGTGTGGGCAGAACTCGCAGGAGTCAATGACGATCAAGGTTTCGCCTTGTCGTTGTGGCGAGAAACTTGTGGAAAGGAGGTCTCGTAGCCTTTGATGGGAGATTTCAGCGTGTCGCCGATCGAGGCGAATGCCACGAGTATTGCCGTTGCGCAGTTTCAAAGTTTTCATGACCACGTCAAAGGAGTTGGCAAAAAACGGTTTAGAAATATTGGAAAAAAAAACATTTTATCTAGAGTCCAGACTCTTGAAAACATTGACAGGAAAAAATACTCTCGATTCAATAAGATTTTTGCTTAAATCAAAAGGAAATCCGCTCAAATTAAGAGGCTTGGTTCTTGCTTTAAGCAAAAGTCCGATTGAATCAAGAGTATTTTTTCCTGTCAATGTTTTCAAGAGTCTGGACTCTTTCTAGATCCAGTGTGGTTTTTTTTCCAGTGAACATCGAAGTACTGCTCAAGAAGGTAAAGGCTAATAGACAAAACTCACGTAGAGATTGTAGGAAGTAAGTTTTTGTTAAAAATGAGTTTTTCAAAGGCATTTATTTCTTTAAAAACATTTGCTGAAAAGTCTTCTCGTATAGAAGAAGAAAAAATTAGAGACTATGTCTTATCGATTTTTAAATCAGAAAATCGGCTCGCTCGATAGGTCAGTAGATGTGAGCATGGTGATATTAATTTAATTGGGCAGGCAGCGTATAGAAATGATGGAAACTCAATCACTGCTTGCTTTTAAATCAACGTTATCGATGGAAAAATCACGATAGCACGATCCTTTCATCGTTCGATGGCACGAATAGTGGAATACAACTATTCGTGCTTGATGGATGTTCGTATTGCATATTCAAAAATTGAAGGTGCACTGGTAATCTTAACGGCAAAGTCCATGTAGAATACCATTACTAGAGCTCGTGGAATTCTTCGTTTCATACACAAAATAGGTGGTGGCATTGTAATTACTTGAAAGAGCCCCCGACCCCGACTTTTACGCGGTCCGATCTTTGACGGGCGCTTAGCGCTCCTGCATTAGGTTTTATGATAAATTAGGTTTCATTTCAGTCAAAGGATGACGACAGTAGTTTTTTAAATGTTTCTCAGTTTGCAACGTCGCAGACTTCCTGTCAAACTTTCTTTTTTTAGTAGAAGACTTCTCAACGTCAACCATTGAAAACTTTCGTGATTTTTCATCTCTAGGCGAAGAAAATTCTGCGAAAACTCCACGGAATGACATTGAATCATTCTCTTTTAACAAAATGAAATGGGAGCAGGAATTTTTAAACATCGCAAACGAGATATGTGGTCTAGTAGTTTCACTGTCGATAATGTCTCTGAGAGGTAGAGTAAGCAAACACGGACACGGAATTCTCCTCAAAATTGTGAAATTGCAATTCCGTTCGACGTGGCATCGCTGCGAGAGTCCTCGGGAGGAGAGGCAAGAGGGCAAGAGCTTTGATCGTAATGTAGTACGCCAATATACATGCCACATGCCCCGCGCTCACAATAAATTCCCAATTGACAGGAGCATGAAATTGGAAAAAAGAGTCTCATATATTTGTGACTAGAAATATATGAGTTTAAAAGAGGAAAGATGAATGACTCGGGTTAGTTATGTAAGGGACAAGTCAACGTCGGACTCCGACTTGGAGTCTTCGAGTGTTTGACTCACGGCGAGTACGCCCTGGAATTCGCCCCGCGACGGGACCCCAACCCGAAGGGACCGGCCGAATGCTTGCGCGTCGAGTTGCAGGGCGTCCCTCCCACCCCCGCCTCCCTCCGTCCGGGCACCTGCCAAACTCTCGACCCCCCCCACCTCCTCCCCCGCGAGGCTAATAAACAAGTGCTGGATGCCTGAGAAATTGAATCGGTCAATCTTAAAAAGACGTAAGCGCCAACATTAAAATAAGGGATAAATAAACACAAAAAAGCGTCTAAATCCTAACGTTCCGAATCTCGAAACTTATCGCATTATCACTCGTTTTCACATTTACAGCGGGTATGTCAACACAATAATATTATTCTTGCATTTTCATTTCTGCCAAACTCTCAAACTCTCTCCCGCGATGACTACAAGGAAAAGAAAAAGAACTGCTGATTCAGCAATTCAATTGCTAAAAACAGTGAGTGCAATGTTTCAACGCAGATTTTACAACAAAAAAATGCTACTTTAACCACCCCCGTGGTTAAATTAGTTTACAATGTGGTTAAATTAGTTTACAATGTGGTTGAAGTAGCATTTTTTTGTTGGAAAATCTGCGTTGAAACATTGCACTCACTGTTTTTAGCAATTGAATTGTTGAATCAGCAATTTTTTTTCCGTGATAGACGAGTGCTAGACAGTAATGCTAAGACTAACAGACATAGAAAAACGTCTAAATCCTAACGTTCCAAATCTAAAAACTCGGAGATGTTAAAGCGTTAGGTTGATTTATCACATTATCATTCAGTCTAATATTTACAGCGGGTACATTGATACAATAATATCATTCTTGCTTATTCATCTCTGCCAAACTCTCAGCCCCCCCCTCCTCCTCTAAAATTATCGCGCTATTTTCCTCGCCCAATCCAAATATTCTATTTATCACTATAATCCACGTAAGTTACTGATATACCTACACTACGACTAAACCATGAACATTCAGCACCTGATAACTGATAACTCAAAGCATCGGAAAGATGGAACGTTCCCATTTTGTGTGTGTTCACTGCATAAATCCTATTTTGAAGGCGCATAATATGGAGCACAACCGCCACGTTCACTATCGCAACCCGAAACTCGCTTTATTTCTAAATCTCATCAAATACGATACAATAGTTTCAACTCACGTGTATCGAGCTGCGTCATCTATAATTGAAGGCGCACGGTGAGCATAATCTCATCAAATGTGTGTCGAATCATGATGCTCATTGTCATATCATAGGTTCTTCGTCACATTTTCAATTTGCGATAAAACAACATATGCACCTATCTGCCTCAGCCAGAATGGCGAAGGTGACGAATACGGCAGACAAATATTTTCAAAATTCTTATCATGTGATGACCAAAAAGTGAAACCACGAATCTCCGATTGCGATGTTGCAGACTTTTTGCTATACCATAGTTTTTCCTCAAAAAACCAACCGACGCAATTTCTTGAAAACTTCCTTGATTTTTCCTGTCTGCCAGCAGAATATTCTATGTTTCTAAGCCATGAACTCGACTTGCTATTCTTCGAGAAAATAAAATGTAAGCGGCAATTTTGAATCATCGCAATCTAGATACGTGGTTTCGCACTTTAGTCATCGATATGTGACCTTTTAAGGGATGGAGCTGCGTAAGGTACGACCATTAACGCGGGTGAGCTTTACTATTCTCGGGAAAAATTGGGCGTACTTCTACCAGACAACTATGTGCAGGAGGGAAAGATGGGGTATGCTCGTCAGTCGAGGACCATAAGAATGAATGGGAATTATAAAGCGCCAGTGACGTCAGCGGCGGTGTAAACTGGGGTAGGTTTGACACGAAGAAATTGCGGTTTTTCTACGACTTGAGCGCACACCCGGCACACCGTGCTATACGCGCAATGCATGAAGTATTCCAGGGTCTTGTTAGGCGCTACTACGCGCTGCCCACGCACCGTGCTAAACGCGCAATGCATGAAGTACTCCAGGGTCTTGTTAGGCGCTACTACGCGCTGCCCACGCACCGTGCTATACGCGCAATGCATGAAGTATTCCAGGGTCTTGTTAGGCGCTACTACGCGCTGCCAGTTCACCGTGCCATACGCGCAATGCATGAAGTATCCTAGGATCTTGTTAGGCGCTACTAATCGACTGTTTTCGATACACGCTCCAGCCAGCCCCGTCCACAACGCTTTAGACACATGGCACGGCTAATGAGTTTCGTATGCAGTTGGCACATGGCTCCTTTTGCTAAACTAGAAAAGCGGGAATTTAAATTCTGTCATACGGAACTATGTGCTAACTGTATACGAAACTCATGAGCCGTGGTCATGTATCTAGAGCGTTGTGGACAGGGATCATGATTAAATGCCTCAGATCGTCGCTCTTCGGCTCGGTCGTCGCCACTGACGTCACCGGCGCTTTTTAATTCCCATTCATTTGTACGGCCTCGACTAACCAGCACGCCCCATCTTCCCCACCTGCACATAGTTCTGTCGGGTAGAAATACGTGCAATTGATAGAACACTCTGTATGTTGAGATGACACTGATACTACGAGATTATACAGAGCATACTATATTGCGAGCAGGTCTCAATTACCCGGAGCACAGCGTCGGAGCCCGAGTCTGCTACCGGACTACCCGTCGCACAGTGGATCGAGCCAATCAGAGAAGTCGGACATGAAATTTTTGACTGAAAC